ATGAGTATGGAGAGGGCTTGTCAGGCGATGTAAGCAGTGGGTGAAAAGAAAAAGAAAGCGAGTCAGCAAATAATACCGAAAAAAAACAAAGCACGGAATTGCAGTACATCTGCAAAGGCTCCACAGCCCAAATGCATTTGGAATTGCAGGAAGAAAAAAGACAGAGAGTTGTTAAAGGGACATGAGTGCTTCGAGTGCAAACGTTTTCGTGACGCGGTGGGTGTGTATGAAAAAGATCGACATGAAATTGTGCAGGAATGTTCACGACACAAGGAGAACCAACGTAGACCGTCGACATCGCCTGGTTTTTGGAACATACGCTTCTCTGATTCGGAAATGTAAGATGCTCTCTCTCTCTCTATATATATATATATATATATATGTATATATATATATATAGAGAGAGAGAGAGAGGGAGAGAGAGAGAGAGAAAGAGAGAGAGATGTAACGCATAACATTTTGCCACGTGCTGTATTTCATTCGTGCAGCCAGTACAAGGTCTCGTTGCGGTGTCGTGAATATTCGAGTTCATCGTGTACGCAAATGTCGAAAGATAAACTAATGAGCGATGTCAGACTCGCAATTCAAGATGTGGTCAAGAATTTTGAAGTGGCTATGAAACGCTTGCATGCAGCCGATGAAGTCCTTCAGAGCACGGCTGTTGATTTGCACGTTATGCGACAAGAAATCGACTTGCACGAACAGCGTGTGAATGCTAGGGAAAATGAACTTCTGCATTACAGGACACAAGCTGCTCATGCAAATCGGCCATGTGCAGATGGTTCTCATATGAACAAGATGATGTCTGGCACAGGGACTGTGAGGTGCAACAGTGAGGGTCGTTGCCTAGCATGTGATCGCTACCTAACTGGGAGCACAACAATGGCTTCCCCATCCTGGGAAACCTTATGTCTGAGGAATGTTCCATCGCCCAACACATCAAACCGATCAGTCATCAAAAAAAAAAAAATGTCATTTACAAACATTTGACGCGGGGTTCGTTTCTTCGCAAAGTGCTATGGTTCACACACATAAGTACGTCTCTCTCTCTCTCTCTCTCTCTCTCTCTCTCTCTCTCTCTCTCTCTCTCTCTCTCTCCCCCCCCCAATAACACAACCACCCAACCACCCACCTAACCACCCAACCAGCCAACCAACCAACCCACCTAACCACAAAACCGGCCACCTAACCACCCAACCAACCAAGCAACCAGCCATACAACCACCCATCCATCCGCTAAACCACCCAACCAACCACCTAACCCAACCGCCTAACCACCCAACCACCCAACTAACCAACCAATGTATCACAGTTCGTTATTATTATTATTATTATTTGCAGCCGCGAGACTCGACTCATTGTGTCCGTCGCTTATCATACGCACTATGTTGCCGTTATGTTTCACAGGGTCGTCGGCCAGCCATTGAGACTGTTCATAATTGTCAGGTTCACTTATTCTACCCTGCGACACAACATGGACGACGTAGTTGTTGTTGTGAAAGAGGTTGTGGATGGAAAGAAAATCGTCGTGAGAGAGACAGTGTGTGAGCGCGATGCTGAAAACGAAAGAGACTTTGAATACTGGGAAAGGGTTTCGTCACGAAAACACGTGTGTACTACGCGTTCATCGATGACACCCTCGCTTTGAGGGTCGTGGCGGGCCTAGGGTACGACGACCATGATTGCCTTAATGAGGTTATAATGCACGCAAAAAAACTTTCGGATGTCGTTTCCGACGCCTGCGAACCCCCCGACTTCGATGTGATTGGTCATTTGCTAAGGTGCATCGTGTCAGTCCTTGCGGTCGAGCATGTGGAAAGGTTAGCACGCAACGCATGGTATTTCTCCAAACTCGACCGCCCGCTGCAGCGCGTAGTTTTCTCCACGCAGAAGTGCGCAGTGTGTTGCCAAAGGACGGTTGCGGACAACAGTGCCAAAGTGTCAACGAACCATCATCCCGCTCGTCTCATGCGTAGTCCGAAACAGGTGGGTTGAGGAACAAAATCCTAAAGGTTTTCAACATTCGACAGTGTTCGAAACCGCGAATACCCGCTCCTCCCATATATATGTATAAAGGGCATTCCCCCTCCCCGTACGGTACATGTAGAACATCATGTTTGCGTTATTCTTTGTTCGCTCGTTGGGTTCATTACTTACGGTGTCGCTTTCTGTGAATTGCAGCAGTCTCCATACGCCATACGAAACAAGCGACGATGCCTTGCGCGCCAATGATTTTCCAATGTTACCACACCACGAAACTGACAGGCGGCGACACAGTATACTATTACGAATCAACGACTCTCGTAACAGATCATGTCGGCAATGCAGTGGGGTACCACAATAGAGACAAGATGGTGGAACGTCATTTCGTTGTCTGCGTAGAGGAGGACTGAGTCGTCAGACTCACTACTGAGATTTATATTCGTGACCATGCCATCGAACACGTTCGTGTGCTAATGTCTAGGCCGACTACGTACTTCAGTACCTTTGTTCTCAAACCGGTCGAAGGTGATTTGATGTATGATATCGTCTACCCCCTAGTGCATCGCATATTGTACACACTACGGGACGGTCGCTCGGGACGGCGTCTGGCGCCTGGTCGTGTCACCGCCCTATTTTGTGTCCAATGACGAGGATTTCTCTGTCATGTTCTATCCTTGCTGTGGGATCCGGCGATGAGTACCATTCGTTTTTTTTGCTATGTTTCATCGTTGTTGGAGAAAGACAAATTCATGGTTTCAATGATTGTATATTTTGTGTATACATATGCAATCGTCATATCCCATGTGTTTTTTTAATGTTTTCGCTTTTTTTTTTTTTCCAGCTGCTTCGAGTTTTTTATTGATTTTTTGTTTTTTCGTTATGTCGAGGTATAGTACTGAGGTAATCGGTGTCCGTAATGTTCTGTTTTGTAGATTTCTGAAAAATCGCACATAAGTGATAGAACTATATTCACCCTTTCCCAAACATGGACCGCCGACGACGCAGAGCTGGCGTGCGGGCCGACGCAGTCATACTTGGAAATGGGACAGATACTGATCCTTTCCGCGACGAGGACCTAACAGTCGCCGAGATTAGGAGTCGGTGGTCCGGGCCCACAACGCTTTTGGAGGAGGCTGTGACTTTTGTTGGGCTGGAGGAGCATCTGCAACAGTGCATGAATCTCCTTATTGGTCGTGCAATTCTCGAACCAAAGCAGAATCATTACAATGAATATGTCGTTTTTTCTCGGCTGTGCGGGTTCGTCGTCTTCCGGCAGAGATTTCCAGATGAGTTCCAGACGGCAATGCGGGAACGATGGTCAGATACAATCATTCGAGGTTTTGAACTACGACAACGTGATCCTCCTGAAAACGCACGCCCACGTCGACGTGCACGCCGGTAAATGCTTCACGACAAGATATATATATATATATATATATATATATATATATATATATATATATATATATATA